TATCCCTTCCAACCTCGTTTTATACGGCCATAGGCGCGAAGTTATCTAGCGATTCTAATACAATTTTAAACCAATGATCTTCCTTCTTTTATGTGTCGTGTTCCCTCAGTGCCTAGGCGATGATGGCTCTCCACTTCAACCTATCCCTTGTAGCTTTCAATAAGTTTTGTCCCTTTGCTACTTCCCACAGACCATGTTCTGTCATCCACTTGCTTAAGCCCGCTAGGTATGTCACAAGTTGCTTTCCCTTGTCTTTCTTTCCCTCTATCTGCCCTGTGAGTATCAGATTCTCTAAGCTCTCCTTTCTCATTACGTGTCCCAGAAATTTCAGTTGCCGCTTCCTGATGCTAAGTATAAGCTTCCTCCTTGTTTGCATCCTCTCCAAAACCGCATCGTTGCTCACATGTTCGGTCCATTGTATCCTTAGCATCCTTCTGTATAACCATACCTCTGTTGCTTCAAGTCTCTTCTTCATCTTTGAGGAGACCGTCCAACATTCGCTGCCGTAAAGGAGGACAGATATCCCGTTGCAATTCAGGACGCTTATTTGTTCTCGTAAAACTTTGACCAAATACCGCCTGTCTCGTAAGAACTCTCCTAAATATTTATCTTTTTTGTCCCCCATAAATCCCAATACATCTTTGAATCTCAGCATCGCATTTACAGTCCCACACCAGAACACTTATATAAATATAAACCAATTTAAATTTTTGCATCTTCTTGATTTTATTGTACCCCTTTTTGACCTGTAAATCGCATTTCAATGTGTGGCTCATCTTGTTATTTGATGACCATGCATTTCGTAAAGGAGGACAGATATCCAGTTCGAAATTGTGTCTATCTTTGACCATCCCAATACATCTTTGAATCTCAGCATCGCACACAGAACACACACTTGATTTTATATATATATATATATATATATATATATATATATATATATATATATATATATATATATAAACCAACTAGCTATCACACGGCCGAGAGAAGAAAGAAGATGCAACGTTTTGGAATCGACCCCTTCAACCAAGAGATCCCCAGAACGAAGGGGGGATGGGTATACAACAAAGTTACCACACGCTTACGCCTGCTTTTTGTACAGCTTTTTCTTCTTAATTCGGTGTCCCTTAAGAATGTGCGTGGTCATATCTCTCCATTCTTCATAACACTTTGCAATGTGTGTATTTTCACTCTCCTTTACTACCCCTCTCTGTTAATATTTAACAACCCCCACCACGAGGGATATATGTGGCACAAGGCCGAGTTTAACGTGGGTCCTCTGAACCCGTAGGCTCGGCCAAAAAATCCCCGTAGAACCCGCATAAACGCTTTCGGGTCTGTCTACCTCCCCGGACGAAACTTTACCCTTCGGCACAGCCTCGCCCGGATTCCTCTCTGCGCAAGGCAGAGAGTTCGACAGAAGCTGTGAACAGCCTGAGTAGAATAGTTTAGATCACTACTTCACTCTGTTGTAACCATCCATTTATAGATGTCCGTTAAGTAGACTGCTTGCTGCTTTCCTCTATCGCTCTTGCCTTCACCATGTCCTGTGTATGACAAATTTTCCGGACTTTATTTTCTCATTATGTTTCCCAGAATTTTCAACTGTTTCTTTGTGATGTTATGCTCATTTTTTTCCTTTATGCTTACAACTTCCTCGTTGCTTTCTGTCTCGTCTCCTTCCGTTTTATGCTTTTCTAGAACCACATCTCCCTTTCCAGACACTCGACAATTTCCATCGACATTTGTGCGCGGCCAGCAGCGCACCGATTTTTATATGTCGACCCTACACTCTGTCTGCAACTTGCGAGAAACTGCCCAAGCCTGTCGAAGACTGCTCTTCTTTTGAGCAATTTTTTATTACAAATCTTCCTCGCGTCTGTAAAACCAGACACAAATATGAGGTCATCTACTTCTCCATTCGGTGGCCGTGGGCGCTCTCAGGTCAACTACAAAGTTTAGATCCAGTTTTTTTTACGTATTGGGATGGCCAAACCTGGGCAGAGACAGAAGGATTTCTTTGGTAACGAAGAAAAAAATACTGAGTTGTTACGTGACATTTGTCATTCTTTACGGTAGCGAATGTTGGATGGTCTCCTCAAAGATGAAGAAGAGACTCGAGGCGACAGAGATGTGGTTCTATAGAAGGATGCTAAGGATATCATAGACCAAGCATGTGAGCAACGATGAGGTCTTAGAAAGGATGCAAACAAGGAGGAGGCTTATACTTAATACCAGGAAGAGGCAGCTGAAGTTTCTGGAACACATAATGAGGGAGAAGGGCCTGGAGAATTTCATACTCACTCGTCGAATAGGGGGAAAGAGAGACAAGGGAAAACACCGCGTGGCATACCTGGCGGATTTAAGCAAGTGGATGACAGAATGTGGTCTGGGGGAGGAAGCAGAGGGAAGGAATTTATTGAGAGCTGCAAGGGATAGAGGGAGGTGGAGAGCCATGATCGCCTACGTCCTGAAAGGACATGGCACATAAACAGAAAGAATTATAATGTTCTAATAACTTTGGCCGATTTTAAATATGAATTAAGTTTAAGCGTCTAATGATTTTTGTTCTTTTCCTTTGAAATTTGGCGGATATTTAGACAATATTATTTTTCTAACATAATTGCAGTGATTAATAACATGATCCAATAGAGATATAGATAAATTTTCACCAATAACAATGATTTACTTAATGCTGACTTTGATCTCTCTTAATGAAACACCCTTATATATAATCTGTCATAATTAAACACCCTTTTACTCAGTTGCAATCAAAGAGAATTTGGTGCATTTATTGTGTAAAAAACATCCGTAATTTTCACTTCCTATTGCATACTCTTCCATTCATATCAAGTAGTTCATTCCTCATTACCATTCAGCAGCAAATTTCTACTTCGAGTGCTTCTCGAACATCGTATTGGCTTACTTTTTAGTAAGACTTTTTTGTCGTTGACAATGACATTCCTCCGTAAATTAAATATAAGATGCGATCCGAAAGAGCAATCTGTCGTTGTACACACAACCATCTTTTACAACCCCTCATAATTTTGAAGGAGATATTTTTTTTTTGGGGGGGGGGGGTTAACCCCCAACCCCACAGTAAAGCTTGTAGTGTTCCCAAACGGCCTCTCATGCAAGTGCTGATACGGCTCAACGTTACTTAACTTGGGTGATCGAAAAAAAGCTGGGGAATTCATCGTGATTCAACCCTACCCTAAGCATGTATAATTCATCGTTATTATTGAAATGTCCTTGCTTGAAATCAATTCCCTGTGTAGAGCGTGCAAACACGACTATCAGTTCAAGTATTCTTCAATAATGAATACAGTATTTATTGTTCAT